ACGTGACACTGCCTGGCGAGTCTTCATGGTTCGTGCAGTTGAAGTTTCTGAAAAAATGCCAAGGCAATTAATTGTAGCATCTCTTGAAATAGTCTCTAAAAACTGATAATTGCTGATACTAAATAACTGACGTATTTTTCATCCTTTTTACTTTTCTTATTTTTTGGTTTTATGAAACAGGTTTTCATGCAGCAAAGGTTAGCCTCAAACTTGCCATGTGGCTGGGATGGCCCTGAACTCCTAATCCTCCTGCCTCTACTTTTCAAGTACTGGGATTACAGGCATGTACCATCACATTCTAACTTCACCCATTCCCCACTTTGACCTGCAAATTACGCCGTTTTTCTTTAGAAAACGTTACAGCATTGTTCATGGCAATGATCTTGGGTGAGATGGAGCATCTCTGTGATTAATACTTCATGTATAGTATTAGGGATTTGAGCAACACCTGTATTCACTAGCATGGACTCAGTCACTTTTTCAGAATATAGGAAGGAACTGATTCAAAAGATTTCTAATTCCTATTCTGAGTGCTGTAGAGCCTCACAGTTGAAAAAGCCAGGCTACCCGATCTGGGACCACTGCTCAGTGGCACATAGCACATGCTGAGCATGTGCAAGGTTTAGTCACTAACTTGGCAGCAATAAGTTCTTGCATTTGCAAATATATATGTATTCTTTTACAGACTCAAAAACTAGAACAATTCAGTGAATATAATATGATTAGGACACTTTTTTCTGAGTTAGCGAGCTAGGATATAGCAGCATAAACCATAAAACAAACACAAATCCTCTAAAAAAAAACCCTGTCATTTGAAAACTTCACAGTTCATTTCTCTATAAGCTATTTAATATATTGAAAATTAGCTTTTAGATCTGACATAGTGGTACATGCTTTTAATCCCAGAGCTTGGGAGGCAGAGGCAGGTTATTTCTGTGAGTTTCAGGCCAGTCAAGGCTGTAAAACACTATCTCAAAAACAAAACACAACACAACACAATAGACTTCTATAACTTTTAAGTACATACACATATTTAATTTTCAGTAAGATATTAAAGACTGAGGGTGGCTACTGATAAGGATTGGATTTACACAATACCAAAACCCAATAGTACTTACACAGTAACAAAGCCCAATAGTTTTAAACACTTATTTTATTTGTAATTGAAGACCTGATATTGATTCCATAATCTAAAGTAAAGCCTAAAAATCCTTCCTTTTCATAATATTTGTGGACAATTTTGTTCTCAGTGATCAATACACAGACTACCTTCCTAAGGTAGCTAAATCTTGCCACTGACATTGTTATAATCAAAAGTCATATGGAGAGTCCTTAAGATACATTTTGAACCTTCAGCCTCCTCAAGCAAAGTCAGTGGCACAAGGGATTTGACTGGCATTGTCCACAAACATGAACCTGGCTCTCCAGTCTATGCTGTTCTTTAAAGTAGTGCTTTGCTCTCTCAGTTGAAAGTACTCTTCAGCTCTACAGGAACAACTGGATGATAAAAGGATAAAGAAAGCCTTTAATGTATATTAATGTGATTGAAAACTCACTATCACTTGCATAAACAGGCCATTTTGAGATACTCTACTTGAAAGGCAAAATTTTTAAAATATGGTATTTCCTCTCATATAAAATTTAAACATAAAGAAGTGTTTTAATGGTGAATGTGATTTAAACCAGGCAATTCAGTTTGGAGGCCTGATACTCTATGCAGTTTCTACTGATGCGTGGAATTTTAAAAAGATGATTTATAACAACTCTTTATCAGAACAGAGGGGGATCTTGCATTTGCTATGAGCTGTTGATAATTGATGCATGCAGTAAAATACCATATGTGTTTTAAACACTCCATCTTGTTTAGTCCAATCAAGAGCTATATAGTTACTTAAGTGGCTGGGTTTGTATGACTATCAGAAATACTTTAAATTAAAAGTACAGAAATTACTGGACAAAGTTCATAACTGTAATAAATAACAGGTGGCCATACCTTGCAACCCCCCAGCTCCAAAGAGGTTTAGACCTGTATCTTTCACAGGCAGGTCTCCTGCCGTCTCATCACTTGGACCAGACATGGCCTATCTGTGGAGAAAAGAAAATTCAAACAAACGCTTTCTAAGTTATTGCATCAACGATGCAATGGAATGAGCCAAATAAAGCGAATAAGAAACTAGAACGTTAATGGACATGTTATTGCCCACATGTGCTGCCTGAGCAAGATGAAAGCTCCTATTCTAGAAGGACCACTGCATCCAATCATGAAGACTGTCTTCTTTCTGCAGAGGACTTCCTACAGTTTTCTTAGGAAATGAGGTAAGATTAGCATTCCTCCTTTTTGTAGCCATCTATCTGAAACAAAAAGAAACCTTTCCAAAGTTAAGAAATACTTCCTACCCCGACTACTTCCCTTAAACACTGCATGAATTCTGGGGAAAATGAACAAAAAACAAACTCAGGTCATGAACTCGAGGCAAATAGTTTGTTTTTATCATCTACTAGTTGGTCATTAAATTTACCTAATTTTAAAAATAGGACAAATTATACCTATATCATAGTTACTCTAAAAGCAAATGAGATTACACACTCAGGGCATTTAGCAAATGTGCCAGGGATGTCTAGGAATGCAAACTGTCTGCATCGTGTGCATATGAATAGCCCGTTCCAAGCTCTGTGAAAGAGGCCCCATGTGTTTATGATGCATTTCACATTTGATGAACGCTTCCTTTGTTCCTTCAGGTTTCAGGGATGAGTTACCCCAGCACACTGGTTTGTCTTGCTTGCTCTAGAACTTAGTTTCTTTTCTTTACAGAAACACACCCACACCACAATAACTTACTTTTGTATGTGGATATGAATATACAGTGTGTATAGTAAATAAATAGGTATTCTCCATTTCCACTTTGACCATCCTAGAAAGTTAGATGCAAACTGTTAGTGAAGAGCCTTGTGAGGAAGAGACTTCCAAGTTCTAGAATGTTGGTTGTAGAATGTGAAGACCAAGGAAGTAGAGAGCTTATTCATCTTGTTCAGTTCTGTCTCAGAAGCTGGTACTGAGTGTGGCACACTCAGTGAGCAACATTCACTAAAGAGCCATTTGAATGGGTAAAGGGAGCTCTTGAATTTCAGTGTCTGAAAGTTGAGACTTGGCTTACGATAATTTTATCTATATCTGCATGGAGAGTATCTCCTAGAGAGAGGGTCCAGAACTTGGCCTAGAACTTGTAGCAGGCTGAGAACCACACTGCTAGGGACTTATATCTCAGAGGATGACGACAGAAGATGATGCTAACACACACTTGAATGCTCATTGTGCTCACAGTATGCACATGCAATGGCTACTCAAATGGTTCCTGATAGACAAGCAGAAGCTAACACAAACTCACTCCACTGCTCAAGCTCATCTACCCAGGAATTAGTTGTTTGGTGATGTGTTACTGGCATGCAGTGGGTGGATGCCAGCAATGATATATGATCAATGTATAATGGTGTATTTTCGGGCCTAGAACATGAATAGTGTGGAGGCTAAGAAATCTCCCATCATGCTGCATGGCCTCCCCAACCCCACGGCAAACCCCACTCCTTGCTCTATGCCCCGCTTACGTTGTTCTCCACCTTCTCAGTCTCACACCAAAGGCTCTTGCATTACCTGTCTCCTCATCTGTCAGGGCTCAGCCCAACTGTCACCTAAAATTTCCCTTACTATTCTCTGTTAGTCTTCTTCTCAGTTTCTAGCTTTTCTTTTCCAAAGGAAACCTATGCTGTCCAGGCTGACCTCAAATTCCCGAAGAACACCAAGCAACTGACCTCAAATTCTCTATTCCTTTAAAAGACAGTGGTCTCTCTATGTAAACCTGGCCGGCCTGGAACCCAGAGATCCATCTGCCTCTGCCTGCAGAGTGCCAGGATTGAAGTGCCGCCATGCCTTGTGTAAACTCTGGAGTTTTCATGAGAGTACCATCACACAGGGCTATGGCTTATTACTTACAGCAATAGTCTCTCTTATTATTTCAGAGTTGTTCAGTCAAATTCATTGTCTTATAATTCAATGTTGATTTAGCACATTATACTTTCACATTTATACCACTTTTTTTTTTCTTTGCTTTACTATTTGTTCTTGTACTTTCCCCCATCTCTCTAGCATCCTCTCACTGGTTCCCTTATTTCCCCAAATAGTCCCCCTTCTGCTATCCGATGTCACATGGTGGGCATCAATGTTCATATTTGTTGAATGAATGAATGAATGCCAGGCACAGAGTTTAAACAACGTCTTTGCCTCTAATGGCTTTAACAGACTATGGGAGTATTCAGATGAAAAACAGTAATAAAGATAGGCCAGTAGGAACTGACTGGGGTGGTGGGAACTTGAGGCAAGACCTGTTACTGAATTCGAGGCCAGCATGGACTAAAAAGCTAGTTCAAGGCCAACCTGGGGTACATATGGAGACCCTATTTTTAAAAATCGACAACCACCATCACCACCACCACCAGAAACAAGTCCCTTGGGAGACTTAGGTACTAAATCCAATCCCAAATCCTGGGAAACGGAACTAACTGTGACTGTGACCCTCGAATTGCAGGATTTAGACAGGGTTGCCAATTCTTATCATCTAGGCTTCTGGTTTGGCAGGCGGTCAGGGCGAACTGATGCAGGCCTGTGTGTGGAGGTGTGTCGCGATGGACTGCTTTTCACGCAAGAATCCCAGGCCTTCCCCAGGCCTCGGGGAGGACCCCAGGCCCTCAGCTGTGAGGCGGAGGGAGGGCTGGCCAGCCTGCATCGGCCCCCACCGCACAGGGTACTCACCTCCGCGTTCGCTCTCAGCTAGCTACCGTTGCTATAGCGCCCAGAGCGCGGGCTGCCGCAGGCCCAGAGGAGCACGGGAAAACATGGTGCATCCCGTTACCACTGGGAAATGTAGTTCTCCCTGGACTCCCGGCCGCCGGCTGGTCGCGTAGCGGACTAAGCTAGCTCAGCTGGCTGACTTGAGAAATTCGGCTCCGAAGCCCAAGGAGTTCTCGGGAGTCTCGCGAAGCATCCTGGGAAGCGTAGTTCTTGGGGCTCTTAGAGAGAATGGAGCTAGGCGGGAGAGAGCGGCTGAGAGGACTACACCCAGGAGGCGGGGTCCAGGACGAGGGTGGACGCGGCCCACGGTGGCGAAGAAGGCTTTAGTGGCAGCATGAAGCGCGCCCAGACTGCGGAGGAACGAGAGCGTGAAGCCAAGGTATGTGGGGCTCCAGGCATCTGGAACTCTGCGCTAGTCCAGGGCTTGGGGCAGGGAAGCCACAGGCCAGCTGGGATGGTGAGCGGATGCTCGGCGTTAAGCCAAGGGATGACAGGGCCTTGTTTGCAAGAGACCTGCAGACGTGGTGTGTGTGTGTGCGCGCGCACGTCCGTGCTGAAGATCTAGTACATGGACAGAAATGAAAAGCTACACACCAATGTCCGTGTCCTGCTTCTGTACCTCTTCCTCGGTTTTATTTGTAGCCACTCTCGTGCCTCAGTTTACCAGTTGGTTGTGATCATTTTACCTGTGCTTTCTCAGCCGGTAGCGGTCTCCAAGGCCTGAGTGCAGCTGAGATAAAAGTATCTATTCGGTGTCACGTATGTATTTGGATCATTGTCTCAGGTGAAGTAGGCTGCATGGTCCGCACAGCTCAAAATACTTGACCTAGCATCTGTGGCTAGTACATTCCTAATCTCTGTCTTTGCTGTTCAGCTTCTGACAGGACATTCCATGGGATGACAGTAGTAACAGCAATAACAGTGACTTACTATTTACAAAAAATTATTGTGTCAGAGTCACTTGCATTAAATGCATAATAGTTCATATTACTGCATCATATGGCAAGACATAATATTACATAGGTAGAGTATAAACAGTCTGTTCTGCAGATGAGGAATGGAAGCCCAATGTTTTCCTTTTCCCTGTCTCCAAAGTTGTGACCTATCGATTTGTCCTAATGTATCAGCATTCAGCCCATTCTTGCATTTCTATTCCCTTGGGCGAATCTATCATGGTCTCTTAAGTGGCTTCCTACAACAGCCTCTTTATCCTTCTTCCCAATTACGTGATTCTTCCCACACTCTATTAGAGAGTGTTTTTTTTTTCTTCCCCCACCCCAAATTTAACTCTAGTCATGCCCCATTGGCAACCACCTGTTTAGGTCTCTTAAGGGCCTCTGCCCCTTGTGATAAATACAGAACTTCCCAATGGCCTCAAAGATCCCACCTGATTTGGGTTCACTGTGTTTCTGCAGCCTCAGTGGACACAACAGACCTGCCTGTCAGTCATTTTGGCCTTGTCAAAAGTCCCTCTTGTCTGCAGTTCATTGGGTCTAAGGCCTTTGGACATGCAATTTGGTGCTTATTCTAGAGTCAGTAAGCATTGACAGTGAGGATCAGTGGGAAATAAAACAGGTCCAGTTCTTGCTTTCATAGAGTTTTGTCTCAGGCGGTAAACCTAAGGATTTAAAATTTTGAATACGCTCTGCAATGACCTGAAGTATGTATTTTACCGACGTGGAAATGGAGGCTGGCGGAGGCGGGATTAGGGGATCAGAATCAGGTCCTATGATTATGGTCTCCTAGCTCTGTTTTCATTTCTGTTGGTGAGACACACTGATGTGAAGAGCAAGTTGCTGGCCTGTTTGCTGTTGAAACATTTCTTTGACTTAAAAAAAAATTAACCTGCTCCCTTGAATTATTGGCTGAAATGAAGCACAGGAAGGTGTTTTTAAATCTTAAATAGACAATGTCCAAATGATCAGGAATGATTGTTCTTCATCCTGTTCAACTGAATTGAGGTATAACTCATATAGAGTATCTTGTAATTTGTTGTGTATAGTTTGATGAGTTTTGACAGTACATCCATGCGAAATGTTCCATAGAACCACAGAACATCATGATCCCTTTAAAAACTTTCTGTACAGCCAGTTTATTTTTTTACCCCTAGGCAATCACTGTGATCAGTCACTATTGTTGAACCTTTATTTTCTAGAATTTCTTATATAAGCGGAAGCACACACTATGCATCCTGGTGTCTGTTGTTTTTATTCATTATAATTTTTGAGGCCTATACATGTCAATGCACATATTATCAAGTTGTTCCTTTTCTGTTGCTGAGTAACAGTGCCTTGTTTGATGCCACATTTTGTTTATTTATTCACCTGTTGCTGGGCATTTGGATTGTTACAGTTTCGGGACTGTTGAGAAAAAGGCTGTGAACAATCATGTATCTCTGTTTCTGTCTATGTTGGGTAATGCATTTGTGTGTGTGTGTGTGTGTGTGTGTGTGTGTGTGTGTGTGTGTGTGTGTGTTTGAAGACCAAAGCTGTATATTGAGTTTCTTCTTCAACTACTCTCTACCTTATTTTTGAGGCAGGGTCTGTCCTTGAACCTGGAGCTCATGAACTGGGCTAGATTTGCTGGCCAGCAGCCCTTGGGAATCTCCCTGTCCTCACCCTTTCTGTGCTGGGATGACAGGCATGTACTGCACCTGACTTTTTACTTGGGTCCTGGAGATCCAAACTCAGGTCCTTTTGTTTCTATTGGAGCATGTTACTGACTGAACTGTCTCTAGTCCCAGAATGTTCTCCTATAACTAGATCACATGATGTGTGACCTTTGTGTTTGGCTGCTTTCAACCCAACATACATGTTCATACCTGCAGTACTTATCAGTACTTCTCGTTACCCAGTAGATGGTATTCCTACAGCTGCACATATCACATTCTATTTATTTGCTGTTCTAGTTTGCTTTCTGTTGCTATGATAAAAGTACCATGCCCGAAAGCAACTTGGGGAGTTAAAGGTTTATTTCATCTTATACTATTTTGTAATAATTCATCATTGAGGACAGCCAGGGCAAGAACTGAAGCAGAGGCCATGGAGAAACACTGCTTACTTACTGGCTTCCTCCCATGACTTGTGCACCTTCCTTTCTGATACTGCCTATGGGTGGCACCACCCACAGTGACCTGGACCCTCTCTTGTCAATCATTACTCAGTTAACATGCGAACTGGCCAGTCTGATGGAGGCAAGTCCTCAGTTTAGTTTGCCTCTTCCCTGGTTACTGTAGCTTGTGTCTTGCTTAAGGTATTATTACTGTGAAGAGATGCCATCACCATGGTAACTCATAACATTTAACTGGGGCCGGCTTACAGTTTCAGAGGTTTAGTATTATCGTCATGGCATGAAGCATAAGCATGGTGGCATGCAGGCAGACATCGTGCTGGAGAAGGAGCTGAGAGTTCTATATCTTGATCTGAAGGTAGGAGGAGACTTAGTGTCACACTGGGCTTAGCTTGAGCATATGAGACCTCAAAGCCAACCTCCACAGTGACGCACTTTCTCCAACAAGGCCACACCTACTCCAGCAAGGCCACACTTCCTAATAGTGCCGCTCCCTATGGACCAAAACATTCAAACACACGAGTCTATGGGGGCAATTCCTATCCAAACTACCATACTACTTTTTGGCTGTCATGAAAAATGATACCATGAACAGTCGCACCCTACTTTCTGTGTGGACAGGATTTTATGTGGCCCATGGGTAGAGGCCTAGAAGAACTGTTAGTCACATTGTAAGGCAACGTGTAACAGTTTGCAAATGCTGTTTTCCATACAGGCTGCTCTACCCAACATTTCTTACCAGAGATTTTAAGGGTTAGAATTTCTTTAAGTCCTTGTCATTGCTTGTTACTGTTGGTCTTTTCTTTGTAGCCGTCATGGTAAGCAGGAAGAGTATTTCATTGTGGTCTTGATTTGTAGTTCCCTGATGACAAATAATATTGACTATCTTCTTGTACACTTAATGAACATGTGTGTATGTTTTTTTCTCTCTCTCTCTGTGTATGTGTGTGTGTGTGTGTGGTAAGTGTGTATGGATGTGTTTTCAGGCATGTGTGTGAATGCATGTGTGTAGAGGCTCATGTGTGGGGAGTCTTCCTCTGTCAGTCTCAACCATTTTACTGAGGCTAGATCTCTCAGTTGAAGGGAGAACTAGTCTGGCTAGCTAGCTTCCTCTGGGGATCCTTCCTCTGGGGTCCATGCCTTATTAGGTCTGGGACTGCAGGCAGACCCCCACTCCTACTTAGCACTTACCATCTTCTCAGAATATGAATTCCCATAGTTAAACACCAAGTCATTTTCCCAGCCCCATGTGAAGTGTGCTTGAATTTTTTACCCAGTTTTATTGTTGTTGTTGGTTTATTACGTTTTATGAGTTCTTTACATTCTGTAAGTATATTTGTTGCCTCGGCTTCCTAATTAGCTGGGATTATAGTTCTGTGCCAGTGTGTTACCCTGAAATATTTCTCCTGTAGTCACAAAGTTTCTTGTTTGCTTTTTAAATTGAATGCTGTCATTCTGTAGTAATTACCTTTGATTCACCTTTTCTCTTTGTAATAACTTAGATTATATTTTTTCCCTTGCAGCTTCTTGTACTGTAGACTTTATGTACTTTCCAAATCTGAAGGGAGAATACGAAGACTGGACTAAGTATCTGGCTTTCCGGAAAAGCATTTATTCACTTTGTGCTGATGTATCAGTGTGCACATACATGTATTCATGCATTTTTAAAGTGAACTTTCCTTACAGTGGCGTGGTCCAGTAATATTTGGTAGATATATTTGGCCAAAGTTAGACCATTGGTTCTTTCAAATCTTTGCTTTGAGAATAGGGATTCATACTTTGGGCCGGTGTTTCTCAAACCGGGCAGTAGTCCCAAGATTGGATGACTCTGGGCTAGTCTAGTATATATAACACCTTCAGTTGTCAGTTTTAGAGACATTAATGTGTATATAATACTTACTTAGCTTATAGTCCCTAGTCACACTTGCTAATTTTTCTAAGAATATCTGCTTTGGCATTTCTTCCCCTGGTCTAGGTGCCAATTCAGGATTGGACAGTTCCTTTCATTGTAATGTCTCTTTTCATATAATCTGGTCTCCTTTATTGTTGCTTTTTGGTGGTACTTGGAATGGAACCCAGAACCTTGATTGTGCCAGGCAGGTACTCTACTGCTCAACTACACACCCAGCCCAAATCTGTTCTGCTTTTTATGTTTATTTTTAAAAAATCTTGATTTATTGTGTATGCATGTTTCTTCTATAAAGTTTGAGTGTCATGGTTACAGTTGAAATTTCTCAGGTCATTAGGCCTGATGGCAAGCACCTTTGCCTTTACCTGCTGAGCTGTCTGGCTTGCCTAGCCTTCTATTCT